TAAATGTAACAACAAAATAGCAAAAGGTTATGCTTGGCCAGGCTAAAAATATATTCCAACACTAACAGTGAACTGTTACTCAGTGGAAGGCATACTGACAATTAACAGTTTTTAATGGCCATGGAGACGAAGAAAAGCAAGACCTTGGATACCCTTCAACATGTGAAGATACTCCCGTGTATTTTTACACTTTTGCCATCTCCACCTCTGCTACTCAAAGTGAAGTTGTTTTCAGTTACGTAATGCTAACTTCATGCTGCTTCTCAGATGTGAATTGTAGAAATACGAGGCCATAAAGTTCTTGTTCGCTTTTGTTTCTATAAAAATTATGATTCAGATTTTCTGAATATACTAAATCTAGAAACAAATATAAAATACTGAACATAATAAATATATGGATGAACTCAGGGAATGAGCTCAGCTTTAGGGGAATGGCTGAGCACCATCAGAGGGGTTAATGCAAGCACCTCAGGCTGCAGCTCTGCAAGCTGCTCAGGTGAGCAGTTCTGCATTGCAATGGCCAAAGCTGAAACCTTTCTGTTGCTAAAGCAGCATGGTCTGCTCAGTGGGTGAGCAAGGATCTGCATGAGCCCCTTTCCAGCAACTGGCTGCTGGGGATAAACGTGCCTGCACCAGGACAGGTCCACACCAGAAGAGAGGCTCCTCTGGTTTGTGCAGGACACTCGCCAGAGACAAAATCCCACATTCTCTGATGCAGCAGAGGCACTCGAGAACACGCCTAACTTTAGGAATATGAGTGGCCCTATGGACATCAATGGGGTTGCTAATGTGCCTGCAGTTAAATGTGTACTGAGTGCTTTGCTGGAATGGGACCAAGGACTCAAAAACTTGCAGGATCAAGGTTTGGCTGAAGAACAGAGAATGTAAAGGGAGACAAAAGCTGTGAGATACTGAGTTGCTCTCGTGCCCTCTTGAGTCAGTCCTTCAAGGAAGCAAACCTTGAGATAAAACCCTAAATAGAGTAAAAGTTAGAGGAATACCTGTGCAGAAAGCTGAAACACCAAAAGATACTGCAAACACTCATTTTGCAGCATACAATGTCTTTTGCTTTTTAGATATCATTACATTTTAAAGCAGATACAGTGATGTCACTGCAGGAAAAATTTGCAAAAACATTGCAGCAACAGGATTTCTTTCAACAGAGGCCTGGTTGACTCACTCTCACAGCTGCAGCAAAGTAGTCCAATGTGTTTCTGGAGAGCATTCTTGCTTGTGAAGTCTTTATTGGGACACTCTAACTGCAGGGAAATGCAGCCGCTTTTCATTTCTTGTGGCAGTCAGAAAGTTTCATTGAACATTTCTGAGCTCTCAATCTCTTCCAAAACACATGCTGAATTTCCTGGCTCTCTTCCTTAAAATCTGGTCTGGGTTTCTACCACTGTCACCTCTCAAATTACTTTGTGAGCACATGAAATTTAAAAAAAAAAAAAAAAAAAAAAAAAAAAAGAGGATTTTTTCCAACTTTTTTAAAAATTTATTTTTAATTGTTTTGTCAAAATTAGTGAATTTTTATGTGCACCCATTTTTATGTTTAAATGATCTGTATTTAGAACTTATCACTAGCATGCAGCAAAGTTGAAACAGAAAGATTTGTCCTTTTGCTATAAGTGATGCAACACTGCCAACTAGAGGCACTGGTAATGATCAAATTTTTGTCGTGCTGACCACTTAAATGGGTTGCATACTTACAAATACTAAAAGATCATATTTGCACAAGAGAAATCCCACCCAAGTCCTTCAACTATGTAAGTTGCACTTACATATAATTTCCTTTAGATTCTGATCCTTTGGTGTGTCATTTATTGAATTCAAATAAGGTGTAACTTGGGGTGCACCAGCAGCTTGGGAGGCCAGAGGGGCTTCCCAGGCTCCCTCTGGCATGGCTAGAACCACACTGAAAGAGAAAGATGTGTCAGGGCTCAAACACAGCATTAAATAAATAGTCCAGAACAGTTTGTGCTTTTGGACTGAAGGAAGGAGCCAACAACATCTAGCATTGCTTTCATTTTATTTACCAAAACACATTTATTCTGTAAATCTCAGCAAAATTAATGAAAAGTAATAAATTGCATTTTTCCCCTTGCAGTCTTCAAAGCTTTGTATCTATAAAAAGTTCTGGGAAATCCGAGAAGCCTGGAGGGCAGGAAAACAATCCTGGTGGGAAATGGGAGCCAATGGACAGTAGTGAGTCACAGAGRCACAGAGCTGCAGAGCAGCTGACAGAGATGTAAATGAAGCCTGGAACCCAGTTTTCCAGCAGCTAAACCACAGGGCAGTTTAAGGATGGAGGGGCCACTTTCAAAAAAAATGCAGAGAAAACCCTGAAGGGATTTGGAGGTGACAGTACTGGAATCAGTTGAAGGCTTAGAAGTGAAAGCATGGACATTGGCCTGGGAAGCAGAGAACACTTTTTGCAGCCAGCACAAACCACTGCAAAAACGAATTCAATAAATGCTTTTCCAGCCATATTATTATGCTTTTGTTCTATAACAATGTCCTCACAGGGATACAAAGCTAAAAAGGTGCAATTGTGWAGTGAAAGCACACAACTGCCGTGCAGGTAATGCTGGAGTAGTTTGTGCACTTGAGTAGAACCCAGAGCTCTGCTTTTAGGGAAGGGGGTGGGGGGAAAGTACATCTGTTGTGAATCAGCCTGTAATACCAGAAGAACTATTTCCACCATTATGACTATTCTGAAAGACACACACAGAGAAACAAGCCAGCACGTCATATCTAGATTTCTTTAAATGACTTTATTGAAATTARCCAGAAATTGATTTTTGGCTGTCAGTCAAGATCTAAGCCCAATGGAAATTTGCAGRGTTTTTCCACTTATTCCTTTTACTGTTTGGCAGTGAAAGCTCATGTTCAGCATTCTAAGCCCCAAGAGCAGTTCTCTGCTCTGTTATCACGTGCTGCTTGAATGTGCACCGAGGTCCAGACTCACTCCACACCAAATACCTGCATTAGAAGGCAGAAGTACCCCCCATCCATGAAAATATGTGTTCTGTGAAGCTTTCTCATATTGTTTAGTGTAAARTTTGTTTGAGCATTTGTGATGGTGCAACTCCCCCTCCAGGCCACACTATGACCTCTCTGTGTGATCTCCTAATTAATTTTCTATTGATTTGCAGAGACACATTGGTCACATGTAAAAGTCTTTGGCAGAACTGCAGGAATGATGCTGAATTGCAGCTGTCACAGGAGCTGTGATCTCATCCCTTGCTCACACAGAACTTAAGGCAGAGTCAGACAGAGTACGAACTTCATCAGCAACCTCATTTGAGCAGCACTCTAAATTAAAATTTAAAAGTCAGTTTCACTAGTCATAAATGGGCTACACATATGAAAACATACCTAAATCTGCTGCTGCATGATTCACACAAAAACGGTAGCTTGAGATGCCAAGTGTGAGTTATTTTTTCTCTTTCTAGAAGTCTGTCCTCTTCACATATGTTACTGCTGCCTTGTTCTGCCCTGTTTTTAGGCAATTATTATATTTCCTAATTTTGACTTAGATATAACTGTGTGTACACAGTTGACCCATAGTTGTATCACCAAAATTAATCTTTAGAGTGGAGAAAAAAAAAAAAAAAAAAAGGAAAGACTTTCCACCACCATGACCCTGGAGACTAAGCTGGCCAAGTTGAATGAGTGAGAGCACACACCAGSTCAGTGACTGAGAGCAGGAGCGTGTGCTCTGCATCACAGAGATTCAGTGTTTGGCTGGAAATGCTGCTGCACAGGTCGGTGGTTTGGCTGCCAAGCAGCACAGATTGTGCCTGGGAGGCAGCTCTGGACTCACACTCTGCTCATGTGTGGATGCTGAACACATGCAGAAGAAATCTAGGGCGGGCAGCTGATAAGATCCCACTTGGGAAGAAGTGACGGAATGGGAGAAGACATCCAGCTTGGTTTATAAATTATTACAGTCATGTTCTTTCAGCATTAAACCTTGAYAAAGTCTTTTTGACCATGGCTCCAATCTCTCTGTGGCAAAACAGACAAAGACTAAAATTCTGACCTTCAACCATAGAGACAAATTGCTGAACAAAATCCTGCAAAAGGGAACTCGCAGGTAGCTCAGCACAATTTTAGTTTCTTTGATTGAATGCCTAACCCTTTACTCCTTGCTATAATAAACTTGTGCCATGAAAAACACAATACCTCAGAGCTGAAGAATATCTCAGTATCTCAGCTGAAGAGTATCTCAGGGGTGAACAACAATACATTTCAGTAATTTTGGAAATTTTCTGTATTTGTAACTATAAGAAGTGTAGCCATACAGTCCATATAAACAAATACATGGGAGAAGAAGAACCAAAAAAGGATTGCTTCTGATTCCCCTGCAAAAGCTGACCAAGGAGGAGGAAACAGGTGATCCAGCTCACTCCTTCTTTGTGCAAAGGTGATGAAAAAAGGACTTGGCTTGTGTTCATCAAGTTCAGTAAAATCATATCAAGCATCATGCCCAAAAAACAGATATTTTTAAACTACAACTCCCAGGAGCAATAATCAGTAATCATATTTTTTAAAAATAAATTATTTTATTTTCCTCTCAAAAAAAAAGGAGTTTGTTTTATTTGTTAATTACACTTCTCTACACAAAGTAACCCTTGTGTCTTCCTATTCGGTTCATTCCTATCTTCAAGCACCAGTGAACTCTGCCATTCTCTGGGAACAAAAGCACCCACAGTTCCAGCTTTCATTGGTGGTTTCTTTTTTCACTGGACATAAGCCAGACTCAAACCCTTTGAGGGGAATAGTAGCAGACACACATAAGCCACTATTTATTTCCAATCCTAGTACAAGACACCTGATACAAGCCAAGATGARCAGAAATGCAAGGATTCAGTGTACAATCATGGGAACTCACAGGGGTGAAATTTGGAGGCATGGCAGAAAAGGGAGGGGGACGGTGGAAACACCTTAATTTGGTTTCCAGCTCAAAGGTTCCTCTCATTTTTTCCCAGGTGAATGTGCTGTTGTTGCTACACAGAGACCTGGGCAGCTCAGGTGCTCTGTGCTGAAATCACTGATTTTTAACCAACCAGTTCCAGGAAAAGGACCTTCAATCAGGAGAATTGGTCGCTGCTGGTGAGCAAGTGTTCCTTATTCTTAACTCTCCTTTAGTACAGCAAAGGGGTTTGGTTCACAAGTAATTACAAGCCTAGTTATACAAAAAGACAAATGATAGATGCAGAGATTAGCTAGCAAATGTTTGTTCTGGCAGGGAATTGAAAGCAATCTATGTGGCGCTGGCTGGGCTTTTTTTCTCTGAATCAATTAAATAACATTGGATCATGTAGCATCAAAAATAYAGAATATTAAATCTAAACTGCCTCCAGCTGCTGTTCCAAAGCCCTCTTGATTTTCAATAGGATGATATTTATTAAGATTTCAATTATTATACCTGTGATTTGAAGTGATTAACACTTTGATTTTTTTATTAATAGATCATGAAAGAAAAAGCTTCTTACTACAAAATGACAATTCTTTTTTCCTATTGTTTGCATATTTTTACATATTTTAATATACAATTTTTTCTCCAGCCACCTGAATAGAATGCGTTTCTCTTCTTGAGATTTCCAGTTACTGGTAATTGAGTTTTAATTTGTTCACAAGAAATTTAACTGCTATAAGGAATTCTGTAATGTTAAGAGATTCATTAAAACAGTACTTTTCTCATTTTCTCTTACCAGTGCTCAGGGTTGTAATTCCATATTGAAAACCACTTTCAACTTCAAGTTAGAGATTTTTTTTATCAATACAAGCACAAATGCCTTGGGGGATTTTTAAAATTTTTTGGGGGGAGATGTGCTGCTGTTGTTATTGTTCATTTGGTTTGGCTTGGGATTTTTTTTATTTAAATCAAACTTATTTCTCAGTGAGTCACCCTGGCAGCTCCTAAAGCTGAGCCTATGAAAAATGGATTTTCCAGCGAGATGACTGAGTGGTATCCTGGCCTACATGGATTACATTTTTTGACTCAGTTGAAACCATCAGGTATCCACCTGAATATCAGAGYTTTAATGTCTAAAAGTGATTGAACTGGCCAAAAGTAAACTAATTAATGAAAAACAACTTGGCTTTGTAATGCGTTTTCTCAACTCTTGCTTTTGTACTTGGACTTTTATCAAGGTCACAAGTTACTGAATTTCTTATAATGATATTTGTTACACTGAACCAGCCAGAAGCATGGATGAATTGTTTTATTCAGAAGGAGTTGAGCTGAAATTCAGTGTAAAAGATGCAATGAAGAAAAGGGAAATCTTTCAAGTTTTCATCATGARAAATAGCTGAAAAATTCTTTSAAATTTATCTCACAATCCTTAACATCCYGGCRCCCAGAGTGGAGACTTMAAAAATTACAGTAATTTCAACATTTTGGTTGGATCTGACRATTTCARAAGTATTGTACTTGGGGGMAAATACTTGCCAATCTTCCCACTTTATTAAGAAGGACMTCATGAGGCATCTTTCAACACAAAGACGCTAACAGAAAAAGAAATAAAAATCCCATGTTGTTACTTTTCACTGAAATTAAAAAACCTGGAGCTCTGCCTTGAAATTGTTGTGATCCAGTTTTACAACAWTGTAATAATTTGTAAGAATCACATGAGATCTGTCCCCTGCAGCCTCATTTTGACAGCTGAGAGTAGCATTGCACAGTGAAATTAAGCACCTCCAGTTTGCATTTTCCTCACAAAGGAAAATTTATAGAAATATCTAAAACTTTCTCTGAAGTATAGATTGTTAGGATGCCACTAACATATTGACCTACRCTGCAGCAGGTGACAAATCTGTGTGACTAAAACTGTTTCTTGGTTTTCCAGTTTCCTTGCTGCATTGGAAGGGAAATAATGCTCCATTCCACGCTGGCCTTGTCCCTKCTGCTAATTGCAGTCACTTCCAACCTTGCGATGGCAATTAAAAAGGAAAAACGGGCACCTCAGACACTGTCAAGAGGTATTGTGCATTTATGGAATGTAGTTACCTCCTTACCTCACCATACAGACCAGCAAACGGTTTTATTTTGAATGTATATTTATAGAATGTGTCTAAACATGCACATATACATATGAACATATGAAACACATAAAATGCACATATATACTTGCTGAGGTGTGTTTCTTTCATGTCAAGGGACACTCTAAGTAAAACATGACTTTATTTCATTTCATTTCACTTCCTCAGTTTATTCTTAAGGATATGACTGAGGGCCTCATAAAACCTGCATGATTTGTAAACTCATAGTGACCTAGTAGAAGCAAATTAACTAAACTGAGTGTCTCAAACCAAGAAGTACGTGTAGGACRATGAAAGAAAAAGTGTTCTTTCATAGGCTGTTTGAAAGATATTTTATTATTGCAACCTAACTTCAGTTGCTATGGAACAAATTTTCTGCAGGCTCATTATTGTACACAGAAMAAAAGTTTGAGCCACTGGTGGGGTTTTGTATGACTTTTCTGAATTACTTTTTTTTTTGCTTTTCGTCAGATATCCACTGCAAAGCATGACTGGGAGTAATTCACTTCCTTGTGGTGCATAATTTTCAACCTGGATGTTAAATAAAGACCCTGTTTTAATTTATTTATGCCTGATTGATCCTTAGAAACACAAGCAGAAAAATAGCTTAACAAGCTCTTTTGCTCTTCCCCGTTCTTCTCCTCCTTTTGAGACTATCCACCAAAAAAAAATTTCCATCTCSCTTCCTGACCTCTTCTGCAGGCTGTGAAAAGCCTTCAGATCCCAGGGCTCACCTTTGAGGTTTCCCTATCCTGGCTAAGTTGCATGGCTCAAAGGTTCCATCTGAGCCTAATTGCTCACAGAGCACTTGACAAAATCATGCAACACCTGGACAAGCCTAAGAATTTTGAGAACACTTTTTGCAAGCAGTATCCCCGAGGAAATGTTATAATCAATCTGGTATGCGTTGCCTAGCTTGCCTAGATCAGGATTTATTTTTCCCAGTAAATCTAAATGCACAAGAATGGTAACAAAATCTTTTCCATTCTCTCAGTTTTGGGGAAAAAAAAACCAAAACCAAACTACAAAGCAGTCAGAGAAAGAGATACAAATTTTCTAATTATGGTTTCAGGCMTATTGGGATGCTTTGAGTGCTTCACTGGTAATTTTCACAGATCAAAGGAGAATATTTACATGTGCTGCAAAATGCCCCTTGCTGACTCCTCTATGCAGTTCCCTGCATCAGAGCTGACAGCAGCCGGGGTTGGGAAGGCACTGGTCAGCATGCCAGAATCCCACCAACAGCCAGACAGAGCTGTCTGCTGAAAGAAGAGATGATCTAGAGGCATCACAAGCAATTGTCCTGTGAGAAAGYTAACAGCAAATCTGGGCTGGTCCCAGAACTGTCCAGACAGCACAGAAGAAACAGAGCTTTGCCCTGGTCCACACCCAGAAACTGTTTTACAATTCCCATGAGAGCTGTCATGGGAACACACTGCCTAGGATGCAGGCATCCCTATACAGGGGCTGTCATCCTTGGGAGCTGGAGGCRTAAAATCAACTGGATAATTTGCTTTTTGAGATCTGTGTATCCCAAGCTATGGATGAGCTGTGAAGCTCATGTTCATTAGGATTTTGTTTTGGTGGAGATTTTTGTGWAACAGCCATTCTTTTATTGAATTATTTAATTAAATTAAGAACTTGCAACTCCAGGGATTGAAGTTACTTTGTAGTTAAGTGCATATCCTAAGGCTGTTCTAATGACATTCATATTAAAGTTGGTCTTATTTGAGCTGTCATATTTCATTTTTATCTCTGTTATATTCCAGCTTCTCTTTAAGTCCCAGGGTCTACATGAAATTCTGAGCAGACAACATGAAGACAGAAAGGATTTGGGTGCTGATTTAGGGACCTCTGAGTATTTAGAAAGATACCAAACAAGTTTCTCAAAGGACTTGAACAGGTTACACAACCAGCTGAGATTTTTGGGGGTGTTTGGTTGTTTGGTTGAGGTTTTTTAACCTTTTAGTGCATCTATCAGGAGATGCAATATTGGCATATCCACAATGTTAGAGAACTTTTGACTAAAACCCACAAACCTTATTTGTGTACAACAGCTGATACACATTTAATAAAAGAATGAGGGAAAGAAAAAAGGAATCYGTTATGAGTTACTTGCCTGGCCACCAGCTAATCCTTTTGTTTTATTTCTAGGGTGGGGAGATGAAATTACCTGGGTACAAACTTACGAAGARGGGCTTTATCAAGCAAAGAAAAGGTAAGAAATTAAAAAGTAGTGAATGAAGACAAAATTGTTACTCATGGGACATGTCATGCTGGAATATACTATGAGACAGAGCAGAGACACCACCAGAACTGATCTACAGATCCCCCAGTCAAATAAAACACACTGTGTCTATAAATAAAAGCCCTTGTAGAGCTCTTATGACTCTGAAATATCCTCATGAGCTAATAATGTAGCCCTGTCATTCCTTTGCCACAAAAACTGAGTTGTCATTTGAATTATCAATCATAAATAGATACCATAATTATTTTAATGACATTTATCGTGGTTTAATATCATGTACTTCAGATTACTTCCTTGAAATCTGTTACATTTGCTCTTGTATGATGATCTGCTGCTTCTGATATTTCCCCCTACACCTTACTAGTTTGAATGTGTTCATGATACATTCAGTTTCTCACTGTCTTGGTAGAAATGGAAGTTCCAATCTTAGTATTCTCTGGGACTCAGCTGCAAATATATTTGAGAATAGATAACAAAACTTATTTAAATATCTTTTACAGTTTATTGCAGATCACAGTAGTGTAATATGAGCTGTTGCTAAATTGAAGGCAAATTATTTTTAAAATAAAAGGCAATTAATTTCATGTATGCTGTGTGAAAATGGTAAGAAATTAACAACTCCTAGAGTGAAAGCAGACCAAGTGTTAGTAACCGATATGCTGAACAGTAAATGTAGTTTAAAAAATACAGGAGAGAATAAACAGAATTCATTTATGTTTTGATATCCAAAGTAAAAAAATCTTAATACTTTATCAAACTATTTATGGAAGGTAAACAACATAATCTATACCTAAACAAGAAAGCTTAAAACAWAAGAAAGTTTCATGGGAAGTATTTGATGATAAACTCAATCTTATAAAATCTATTCTATTCCAATTCATATAGATTATTTTCTTAATCCTGGAGAAATTCAAACATGAGCAACACCAAATACCTCTTTATTCTGATTATTTACTACCTGGGAATGAAATTATAGTGGATCTGTTATTTCTTTCTTCTATAATCTCATATCACAGACAGCCTATTTCGATGTGAAACTCTGTTTCTCTATTTCTTTCTTTTATGAAGTGTTTATGCTACTTTYCCTTGCTCAAAAATTTCTGTAATATTTTACAGAATGTCTATATGGTTTTATTGTGTGTTAATATAAGATTAAATGCAATTTGCCTTTTTCAGACTGCWAGTAAAATCACCCATTTGAATACATGTCAAATGATCTAACAAYATATTTTATTATTATTAATAAAGTAACAAGCCACTGATGGTAATTCATCACTTGGAAGACTGTCAATACTGCCAAGGTAATTTTGATTTTTTGTGTGTTAAAATTTTGTGAATATTTTTATAAGAAACTGACCTATCTATATATTTACCTTACACTTAGTGAAAATTATCCAAAGAAACAGGCAAATGAAACTGTATCTGAAAAGTGAAGAATTTATTACCATTATTTAGAAAAACTCCACTATGAAACTACTCAATAAAGAACAGCAAAAATTCTCAGTGCTGCTGTGCTGCTATCCTGAATTCAGCACTCATCAGTTTAAATTAAGAGGCACAGATTTGCTGCCGACTCATTGAACAGATTTAATATTGTTTCGCTCTCCTGAACTGGTAACTAAAGAAGGAGGCAAGGATAGGGCTGCTGAAAYTGATCTAACAAGAATTTTCTGAGAATAATGCACTTTTGTCAAGCCAAGACATGGTATCCATTGATACAACAAGCTTCATAAATAACAGAAGAGAGCTTCCATTTTCATAGCYAGAGGTTGTACTGCCATAGGCCAAAAAAACCCAAAAAGCAGTGATAGAGCCCTTAAGCGTCTCTCAGGAATGTGGATCAGCAGAGACAGGAACAATGTGACCACTCTCTGACCGATGTGGTGCCCAAACATGGAAAGGCAGAGTCTGAGATGGATTTCAAAGTGATCCTGTCTTTTCTAGCACTGAAGAAAGCTTTCGCAGAAAATGAAGAAATACAGGAAATGGCCCAAAATAACTTCGTTATGCTGAATCTCATGGTATGAAGGCTTTGGGGCTATTTGACTGGTATCTTTTCATGGTCTRTATTTTCTCTTTCTATATCTTGCTTTTTCATGTCATTTTAGCTAACATAGCTGACATTTTAGTTATGTGAGTAGMGGCATTTGTGCATAGATATTCATACACGAGTAGACCCTATTTGGTTTTGTCCTCTGGTGCAAGGTTACTCACAGCTTGTATTGCTTCAGCAAAATTTACAGAAATATTTTAACAACTAGCTTTCATTTTCACACCAGCATGAAACCACAGATAAAAACCTGTCACCTGATGGACAATACGTGCCTCGAATCATGTTTGTAGGTATGTACAATATTTACGTATCTTCAAAGTTGTGATATCTGAATTATTCCATTGTTCTCTTATGGGGACATCAAAATGATTAATTTTGCCAAAAGAAAATTTCTCTGCCTCTGTTGCATGCTTTGACACTTGTAAACCTCCTCAGAATACAGATGTGTTCTGGAGGGTACTGATTTGTGCCTGGGGGCAAGATGCTTAAAAGTCTGTTAATATCTGAGCTTTTGCTCTCTCTGCTTTTGTCAGTGCTGTTACAAGACAAAGATTACTGAAAACATCAAATATCTGACTGAATTTAGATGTCTATAATGTGGACATTATCACAGGATGAATCAGTGGTCAGTGGCATCTAAGGAACAATTTTTCCCATTTGTAAAGCTGACTTCTGGAATGGATTAAATTAATTACACCCCAGAGTTCCTGTTCCTTATCCCTCACTGTGCAGGGAGCCTGCAGTGACCAGCTCTGTGATGGCATTTAAAGCTAAGCCCACACTTAGAGAGCACTGTAATTACAGCAATCAGTAAATTAACAAAAAACTTGGAAGGGTAACTGAGAGATGTCCACAAGACCTTGTTCCCATTCTGGGAACATTGGAATCAGAAGATTTTCGTTCTGGAGGCTCTAGGTAAGCCATGCTATCTATTGCCTGGGATAGGCATGACCCTCACTGCGTGTGCCTCCAGACAAATTAACCTCTTCTGATGTAAACCCAGAACTTGTCAAACAGGAAWTTTTTCTTTAAATATGAATGAAATGCATGTGCAGCCTAGCACTTAAAAGCAGCTGTGTGTTATAAAAATGAGCATTAACTTTTCTTCGGGATTTCTCCAAGAGCAGTTGGTTGGAACAGAGCTCAACGGCCTCATAATTGCTGCATCGATGAAATCAGAAACAGGGCTGCCAAAGCAGTGCCACACCATCACCCTCAGCTGTTGTGGGGATGGAAGGCAGTGCTTAACCACTTTTAAACCACATTTAAATCCTTTTTCAGACCCTTCTCTSACAGTCAGAGCTGATATCACAGGAAGATACTCCAACCGGCTTTACACCTATGAACCACAGGACATGACGTTCCGTAAGTGCCCCTTTGCTCTCTTACTTTGCATTTCACRTTGCAAGCAGCCAGACACCCCCATCCCAATCTCCAGTTCTTGAGAAACCATTAGGATCTCAAAGTAAAGAATAAAAACTGTGTGRGAACATTTGCAATAAATTATAATGGTCTAACCTGTTCTAGCAAAACAATCACACCTATTGTCCCATTGAATTCATTGGGACTACTCAAGCAAGAAAAATTGAATGATCATGGGTGAGAACCTTCAGAATCAAGATCTGAGCAGTTTTCTGGAGAATGGTGAAAGTCACTCTGCTCAAAATTATCCAGCTGTACAATGTAAATAGCCAGTGGTGGGAGGGAATCAGTAAAGAATTACTGGTGGTTCTCTCCTTACCCCTAACACCCATATTTCAAACAGGAATGTGATTTTTCAGGTTAAGCCAGTTCTTAACTCTACGCCATCTATTTTGTGCAGTATATCACCACAAATACACACATCACATCTGATTACCAGGCTTGCTRTTGAGAAATGAGGGAGTTTAAATTAGTCTTGTCAAATCCCTTTAAGCTAAACATTTTGATTTTTTACTTTCTGTTTTAGTATCAATGACAGAGTTTTCAAAATAGAAACCTCTAAAATAWAATGTGTGACCATAAATCAATTTCCAGTGTGAACAATTTACTGAACCAAACTAGGGTTGTTTTTGTTTTTTTTTTAATTGTACAAGTGTATCTTTTAATTTTCTAATTTTTTTCTTTCAGTAATAGAGAACATGAAGAAAGCACTACGCCTCATTCAGACAGAACTGTAACCAGCAACAGTGAAATGACCATAACCTCTACATGATGAAGCTGCACCTCTCTGTCTCTACTTGCAAACTGAACTTTTACCAAGCTGATTTGGTATACCAGAATCCATAAGAAATGTATACATACAACTTGGAGAACAAACATAGAAAGACTATCACACCCATTTGGGAAAAAAGAAGAGAAATATATTCAAGACTTTGAAATTAATTACCTAAATTACTGAAAATGATGATTTAAAGTGCAGCAAATTTGAGCTGTGTTTTAGCAATCCAGCTATGACTTTGTTAGGTCAGCTAACAAAGTTAGCTGATGTCTGAACAGGAGTTGTAAACAAATTTTCTGATGTCTATTGCAATTTATTACTCAAGTTAATAGCTGCATCTTGGCTCCCCATTTTAACTTTTATTGCAAGGAACTTGTTAATTGTTAGTGGACCCCTACTTCATATAGTTATTTCTAATTAAAGGAAACTTTGCTGGGAAATCATTCTACAAAGTTAATGTTATAAATTTTGTAATAGATTATATAGAAAAAAAGAAAACCCAACAGTGCTCTGGGCTTAGCTTTCCTTGTATAATCCTTTAACTTTYGTTGTGGTAGTTGAAAAAAGAACAGCCTGAGTATGCAGTCTCAGTGAGACGATACTCATCAAAGGGCAGCTGCAGGTTTTGCTACAGTAAAAATACAGTGAAGCAAGAGAGATGGAAGGAGATRGACCCACAACTCCAATCCTGAGGCTAAGTGATGCTTGGAAATTCTGGTATGGGAAAAATGAGGAGGCTTATCCTAGCTCTTTTCATTTCAATGGCACTTGAGTCATGGGAAGCTGGTCCCAGGTCATCCTYCCCTTTTCTGTAGCATTCCACCATGAAGGTGGCAGCTTATTAAGGGAACCCAGACACACAAAGTCTTCACAAAATTTCCACAGGGTCACTATATGCAAAACATCTGTTTTCAGTAAAAAGCTAAAGTCACTTGAAATAGTTTATCCCAGCAATGTGTTGGCTTTTTTTTTGTTAGAGCAACATATTCAGCAATTCCCCTGCAACAGGAGCATATSTGTTATGTTACATGTAAAGCAACTGTGCCCTCTTTTTGTGCTACTTGCCATTTGCTGTGATGCTGCCTGTGTACAGATATGAAAGATGAAGGATGGATTTCTGCAGGAAAGYTTTGCTGATTCACAGTGCCTGGTATTAATATGAGTGAGTGATATTGCACAYATCCATGTCTTCATAATTATGTAAAATTTGAATATAAGCATATATTCCAACAGAGTGGAGATAAATAGCCTTTACATGAAGAGAAAAAAAAAWTGTRTCAGTCATTAGCAATGTAYTGTCTTTACAATCAGTATGATGTTCTTAACTTATGGGAAAAATRTTAGAAGTAAAATTAAACTGCAAAGCTCATTCCTTTGATTTTTGCTTAGCTCTACTCATTTATGTCTTTATCCATTCCAGACTTGGCAAGATTTCCCAGTCTGTGGTCATAYCCTCTTTTGAGCATGCCAGAGATACTCTGCAGAAAGGGATGCCAGGTAGCTGCCAGAGATGACCCAGTAGCCATGGCAGCCATTCATCTTCCTTTTCTCCAGTCCAAACAACCCCAGCACCCCCAGCCACTCCTCACAAAACTTGTGCTCCAGACCCTTCAGCAGCTTCATTGCCCTTCTCTACTCCAATCTGCCTTGTTGGCCTTCTCCCCAATTCTTACCCATAAACACCCAACCCTGTCAGCACCATCATCAAGCTCCAGACAACCAAAATCCCCCAAAACATACGGGGCTACCCCACTGCCTCCCATTCCTTGCCTGTCCCTTTTGGAGAGTTTATGGACACCCATTGCAGCATCCAGTGGTGACACTCATCCCACCAYGTTTCCATGATGGCAACCTGCACCAGTTTGCCTGTTTCACTGTGGCTTCCAGTTCTTTCTCTTTGTTGCCCATGCTGTGTGCCTTGTGTAGATTGCACTTCAGCTGGGCTATTGATCCTGCCACCTTTTTGTGGGGAGAAGCCCTAAATCCTAGGCCAGGAATGACCATTCCCAGGCRCTTCCATGGTTTCTAACCAACATCCCTTCTGTCTTTGCTGCCTGAGAGCTCACACCAAAGCACCCYCTAGCACACTGTCCCTAAAATATTTGTGTGCCACCACCAGACTTAACTCCAGTGAGCCTGATTTTATCCCACTCCCTCTTCAAATCCAGTTGAAAGTTCTTTACTCCTTTAGTGRATGCATTCATAAGGAAAGAGGTGGCTGTCAAGAATACACAAAGGAATCCCAAAAGATTTGTGATGCAGGACCACAGTCCAGAGCTTGCTTGGTCTCAGAAAGATAAACTCCACAGTCTGTCTCACCTCAGTGCTGCAAAAGGAAATAAATGGTAGAATTACCACTTATTGGAATTGTGGCAGAAACAGTAATTCAAGCCCTGAGCCTGAAGGYTACTGTTGTTCTGTTTATTTTTGGCATTTGATATTGAGCCAGCAGACAGGAAAAAAACTATGTGAATTAAATAAATACATAACTGAATTTTCAGACCAATACAATCATCACTGACTTAATTATCAAACAAAAGATTTACACTGCAATGCATGTGATTTTAACATTTGAAGAAAATCCATTTTCATTTTGAAAGGTGTTATTGATACAGATTGCATCTATAATCTAGAACTGTATTTTGCTACTGCAGAAGTTTGTAACAGTTTTAACAAACCACTCACTCAAGCAGAGAGCAGCCAGTTTCCAGAGATGTCACAGGCATGAGTTACGCTGTGTGAGATGAAATCTCTTTGCAAAGTGACTAAAGGGGACTGCACCCTCTTCTTTCCCTTCACAAATCCCTAAAAGTACCATGCTGAAATCTGTTCCCAGCCGTAGCTTTCAGAAATGGGACTGAATCTTTGAGATTCTTAAAGACTCAGAYTGAGTCCTTTTGGTGGAGCTAGACATTCAGGTAAAAACCACCCTGTGTGCACACATCTTTTTTATTCAAGCTTAGTTCAACATTCATTCTTAATTTTAGAGTTGCTACYATATTTCTGCCTTATCCTCTTTGAAGACTGTTTTGCCAGGTGATGTTTCTTCTGATGGAATAGAAACTSAGATCTCAGATTAAAGTCTCATTTCTCTGAGATAATAAGTCTGTAACTTTTTTAATAACAGACACAATATGATTCTTTCCCCTCTTTTCCTCTGAAATAAACAGCATGACACACTAATCCCTTTTTTATTCCCTTCTTTTCTGCTTTCATGCCACACAGATTTGTACACAATATTAGCAGGCAGATTTTTATTTATACTCTTTACTTTCCTAAGAAAGAGTGGGAAACTATTCCTTTCCTTACTGTTACCTGGAACTAAAGTAACCAGGTTAGAGCTCAAGGATGAGAATAAGAGACTAAAAATGTGAGAAATGAAACTTCTGAGAGCAGAAGTTTTACATAGAATAAATTCAGTCACAGTGCAAGGAGAAATAGGTGAGAAAACCTACCTGTGTAGACTGTGTGCTTTTACAGAATTCAAAACCTGTATTCTCTGTGTGCAGATGTTAAGATTCACATGGGTGCAATACAGTGTYACCTGGGAAAGTCCATGTTTTATACAGAAAGATTTCTTTGAGTTTTGCCTTTGGTATGAACACAACACATTCTGGGAAGCAAACTTTACTGCCACCTRTCCACATATCCGTCTGCCTTACAGTCTGGACTTATCCGGTGTAATCAGACCAAGAGTAGACAAACAAACGTGGGCTCAACGTCAGTGAGGTGAGGCTCGGGAATCTGAGAACTGACAGAACAGGATCCTCCCCTGTGTATCCGCCTCAGCGCAGAAAGGCGTTGCCTTTTCCAGGCAGATGGCTGATCTATTGGTCTGTGCAGCTAAAACGTTTTCCCATGTGCAAATATTTGCGCTTGACCAGAACAAAAGAAAAGGCACCATACCTTTGTGTACTGTGGAGGTGAGAGACTGTGGGACACCTCAGCTTAAAATACAAAAGTAACCTGGTCTTGCAGAATGGGCTGATATAATTTGGCTTGTTTCATGTGCTACACGTGTTCTTGCCAAAGGCTGACACAGAGAAATTTCCAAACTCTGAGGTGTCCTCCATTGAATCAGCCAAGTCACTGATCTGCTTCCTTTTGTTTGTTCCTTTGTTCAAATGGATGTACAGATCTACAGTACAAGTCAGAAGGAAATAAGTAGTCTCCAGGGCAATTAAAAAGTCCAAAACCACCAAATAGAAGGGGAGGAATATTTACTTTACTACCAGAAGATCCACAGAATTTGCAGTCTATATCTATTAATTCCTTTTCCTTGCTGCTCAAGGTAATCATGTTATTCATCACTTGCCATCCTCAGTTGCTACCATGTGTTGTAAAGTACCTGACCCCCTAGTCACTAAAACTGGATCTATTTCAGCAGACTGWTYTCACTTAGGAGGTATCAGACATTTGCTGATCCCTTTAGAATAAGAAGACATGCAAAAGAGCAGCTTCTCCCATCTTCGTGTGATTAGAAAGAACCCAAATAAGCAGAACCATCTTTTAGTTCACACTGCCATATCAAGAACTGCCTTTTGAAATTTCCCTATTATGCCAATTCCAGCAGACATTCATCAAGTCACCCTTTGTACACATCTAAATATGACCTGTGAAAAAGAGAAAAATACCACACACACTAATTCTTTGAGTTTATAAGACTCAAAAGCACATAAAGTGTGTTGGTGTTTAGACGGTGTTATAGTTTCAGGAAAGAGCCTAAAACTGCTTCAATAAGATCYGCTTTTCAAAAAGACCTTTCTGAGGCATCACTCATTACTCCTTTGCACRCTCTGGCAGTGTCCCCAGGTGATTGTTTGTGAAAGGCTGGCACACAGGAAGCCACTCCGCTATTCAGCACTCAGCCAGCTGCAGAGAGATGAGTTCATGGATGGATAAAACCTCCGGCCCCACTGTCATGTTCACACACAGGGAAGAGACCAGTGACTGCCTGGAGAAGAAGCTGCACCCTACTGTGAGGATTATTGCACACAGGATGGAGGGGAAAGTAGCCTTGCTCTGCTAAGGGCTTTTTTCTTTTTTTCTTCAAGCCTGTAAGTAGGTGGGGCTGTGATTTTACCCAGCCCTTGAGCATTTGTAACAGAGCATAAGGACAGAAGGGCTCACATCTTCCAGACCTGCAGTGCTTCACTTGGGAGACAACTCCACAACCAGTATATGTTACTGTTATCAAATATTTTCATATACACATTCACAGTGAGG